GGGCTGTGAATTAGACTCCCAATCCACACACTGCTCCACGGGCTGTGAATCAGACTCGCAATCCACACACTGCTCCACGGGCTGTGAATCAGACCCGCAATCCACACACTGCTCCACGGGCTGTGAATTAGACCCCAAATCCACACACTGCTCCACGGGCTGTGAATTAGACCCCAGATCCACACACTGCTCCACGGGCTGTGAATTAGACTCCCAATCTGTGCTTGGCACTTCACTCTTATCGTGGCTCCTCACGTTCTGAGTCTACAGCCCTAAGTTAGGACATAAAGGGCCTCCAGGTTTGAGGATGTTTTAAACTATGATGTAGCCACGTGCCCTTCATTTTTCCAGGGAGAATATGAGGCATGTGGTAGCTGGGGTAATCTCTGGGAGGAGGCGGACCTCAAAGCCAGACTTCCGTGCAGTTAACAAACTGAGCAGCAAGAGCGCTTCCTCCTTGAGTGGCTCCGTGTACTGGGAAGCCGAGCCGCTCAGAAAGCCCGTGCTTCTCCGCCAGGTCACACTGCAGAGTTTCAGTTTCTAAACACAACTGTCTGTGCCTTGGGTTTTTTGATGATGCCTCCCTAGTCTGGCGGTTGGATGTTTATTTCCAAACACAGCCAACTGGGGTCACATTAGTCCAGGGATCTTGTGGGCATCTACCTGGGGTGACTGTGAAGGTCCCTTCGAGGGCTGACACTGGCTCTGCCTGCTTCTTGGTCCCGGACACTGAGGATGAGCCAGGTCTGTGAAGCTTCCTACCACCGGAAGAGCACCAGTGTCTGTCCACGGCCTGGCCCCCACTGGCACCAGAGGGCCATGCAGAGTGGGGGCTGGTTCCTGGGTTTTAGAGAAGCAGCCCTCATAACTGTTGCCCCAGAATATGATACTAAGAAACAAAACACATGTTCTCTGCAGCTGTCTGCCACCCCCACACACCTGCCTCACCACGAAGAGATAAAACTGAGAACTGGGTGTATTTTTTTCATTTCAAAGTACAGCACCTAAACAGAGGAGGCGGGGAACGAGGGCTAAGAGACAAAGGCCTGCAGGTAGAGAATTCTAGAATATACAGTTACACCCTCTGCATACATGGAGTCTTAAAAGATACGTAAATAAGGATGTTTACATTTTTACATGTGGATGTTTTCAGGAAAAATTACATATTTTATATATTATGTTTACATGTTATATAATATAATATTCTATTTTAATGTAATATATATTCTATTTTAATATATTAAATCTCTTATTCTGTTATCCTATTACTCTATATATATATATTTTTTTTTTGAGACAGAGTTTTGCTCTTGTTGCCCAGGCTGGAATGCAAGGGCACAATCTCTGCCCACTACAACCTCCGCCTCCCGGGTTCAGGCAATTCTCCTGCCTCACCCTCCCTAGTAGCTGGGATTACAGGCACCCACCGCTATACTTGGCTAACTTTTTGTATTTTTATTAGAGATGGGGTTTCACTATGTTGCCCAGGCTGATCTTGAGCTCCTGAACTCAGGCAATCCACCCGCCTCAGCCTCCCAAAGTGCTGGGATTACAGGCATGAGCCACCATGCCTAGCTCATCTATCTATCTACTCTCTCTCTCTCTCTCTCTCTCTATGTGTGTGTGTGTGTGTGTGTGTGTGTGTGTGTGTGTGTGTATATATATATATTTAAATATATTTAAATTTTTAAAATAATGTCTGAGATCTTCTTCAACAGCTTTTTGCTTTTTTCAGTTTGACAAACAATTAGGAAGCCACGTCTCTGTCAGTCCACGCAGCTGTGGCTCCTTCTGGTGGCCCTGGTCTCACCGGCAGGACTCACGTAGCATCCATTATGAGCGTCCTGATACGGATGGGCCACTGTTGACCGTGGCCGTGATTGTCTTAGTGAGGAGTATTTTGTGTCTCCTTTTTCTTTTCTGTAACATATATCACTGAAACAGACTTTTTCTACATTAATGTCTAAGTACTTTGGGGTTTTTCATTTGCTTGTTTTGTTTTTTATTTGTGGAAATGTCGGGTACAGCTGTAGCTTTGCTCATGGGTATATTGCATAACGGTGTGAGCTGGGCTTTTAGTGTGACGATCACCTGAGGAGTGTTCATGGTAACCTTTAAGTCATTTCTCATCCCTCACCTCCTCCCACGTCTCCATTCTCTGTCCCTCCACACTCAACAGCCACACGCACACATTATTCAGCACCCACTTATGAGTGACAGCATGTGGGGTTTGACCTTCCTGAGTTGCTTCACTTAAAATAATGGCCTCCGTTTCCATCCATGTTGCTGCAAAAGACATGATTTCATTCTTTTTTATGACTAAAAGTTTTCCATTGTGTATATGTACCACATCTTTTTTATCCAGTCTCTGGTTGAAGGACACTGTGGCTGACTCCACAACTTTACAGTTATGGGTAGTGCTGCAGTAAGCTTGCAAGTGTGGGTGTCTTTCTGAGACAATGATTTCTTTTTCTTGGGGTCGATGCCCAGCAGTGGGATTGCTGCATTGAATGTAGTTCCAATTTTAGTTCTTTGAGAAAGCTTCGTACTGTTTTTTGTAGAGGCTGTACTAATTTACATTCCCACCAACAGTCTATGAGTGTTCCCTTTCTCCACATTCTCACCAACATCTGTTATTTTTTTGACTTTTTAGTGACAGCCATTCTGATGGATGTAAGATGATATCTCATCGTGGTTTTTATTTGTATTCCTCTTATGACTAGTGATCTTGAGCATTTTTTCATATACCGTCTGGCCATCTGTATGTCTTCTTTTGAAAAATGTCTGTCCTCTGGCCAAAATTTAATGGGGTTATTTGTTTTGTTGCTGTTGTTGAGTTGTTTAAGTTCCTTGTACTTTTGAAAGCAATTCTGTAGGATAAATTTCTAGATGTAGAGTTGTCTTCAAGGACATGCAAATTTTAAAGTTGGATGACCACTACCAATTGACTCTCCAAAAGGTTATGCCAGTTAATCTCTCTCCTGCAATTAGAAGGGTGTCTACCCCCTAGCAAACCCAGACGTGATTGATTTCTTTCACTTTTGTTAATTCATTGGGCAAAAGTGTGATCCTATTTAAATATGTGTATGCTCACTTCTTAGAGAGATTGGGCATTGTTTCAAACCTATGGTAGCTATCAGAATTCCTTCCTTTGAGTATTTTGCTATTTTCTCATTGATCTCTGGGAGCTTTTGGTTAATACAGAGTTTAGGCTCTCATCTGTTATGTATGATGCAGATATTTTTTCCCCATGAGGCATTTATCCTTTTGTTTTTCTTAATGATAAACTTGAAGTGGGATTGATCTCACAGCAGTCATGCTTTTGAACACAGATTTTATAGAGATCAGAAGAATCTTAAAGGAGGGGAATCACAACTTGTGTACTCTGCCTTGTTGTGGCAGGAGCAACATTGCCCAAATGTCCTTGAAGAGCAGAGCACATGCGCAGCACACACACAGTTATGCAGCTGTGGGCGCAGGGGTGGGACCTGTCAAATCTAGAGACCAGATGCTAAGAATATGGGACTCACATTCACTAACAATTCCATCCTGAGGTTACTGGTGTCTTCTTAACTGAGTCTGGAGTGGGTAGGGGTGGAGGACTGTGGTTAAGAACATATAGTAAATTCCGAAGGCAGCAAACTAAAAGATGCCATCAATGATAATCCTAAAGCTTTTGTTCTGGGTATTTTTGCCATTTAAAAATCAAACCATTAGCATCCGTTTCATCTGGTTCAGCATTTCTACATGTTATTTTACATTTTCCTCCAACACGGGCATACAACACACACACGCATGCACACACAACTTACACACACATACCACATGCACACACACACACAGACACAATCACTTTACCCCAGGGTCACCCAGCTTTTGTGGTATCTGAACTCTGCCCCTGTCACCTGCAGACTCTCCCGGTGTCCCCCCGAGTGCGAATGCTCATCACCTGTTTAGAGGATTCAGCTTTGTGGCCTCAAGTCTGATCCAAGAGCCCTCACAACAAGATCTGCACAAAGTCCCAGTTCACCCAATCGTGCAGGTAACTGTGTTTGCCTGCAGCGGGTTGGGGGTAAGAGGGCACTTGGATGAGGGGTGACTCTGGCGTTCCCTGTGGCCTCAGTGACCTGGGGATTGGGTGCTTAGGGTGGGTGGACTTCAATCACCAATTCTTCCTCCCTGGCACTTCCTATTGTTCTGAGTGTCTGCCATGGTGGTCCCCATGATGGTCCTTGTGATGGTCTGCATGGTGGTTCCCATGGTGATCCACGTGGTGGTTCCCATGGTGGTCTCCCTGGTGGTTCCCATGATGGTCCTTGTGATGATCTCCATGGTGGTCTCCCTGGTGGTCCCCATGATGGTCCCTGTGATGGTTTCCATGGTGGTTCCCATGGTGATCCACGTGGTGGTTCCCTTGATAGTCCCTGTGGTCTCCCTGGTGGTCCCCATGATGGTCCTTATGATGGTTCCCATGGTGGTTCCCATGGTGGTCTCCCTGGTGGTCCCTGTGATGGTCCTTGTGATGGTTCCCATGGTGGTTCCCATGGATCCACGTGGTGGTTCCCGTGATAGTCCCTGTGGTCTCCCTAGTGGTTCTCATCATGGTCCCTGGAGTGGTCTCGTTGGTGTTCTGAGCCCTTGCTCCCACCCCAATTTGCATTCATCTTAAGGAAGAAAAAGCCCTGGGTAGAATGTTACCATGGTGTGTCTATGGCCAGCGACTGGAGCATCTTCACTGTGGAATCCAGCTAGGACCCTAAGATAGCAGTTTGATCCGCAGGCATCATTTTCCTATGATGAAATGTAGGCTTTGGGAGGTTTATGGAAGGTGATATTTTTATAATGAGTTTTCCACCTAGTAAACATAACCAGAATACAGAAAACTCTAAGAGATTAAGCTTAATTAATCTTAATTCTAATTGTTATTAAACTTATTTAAGAATTAAGTCCAGGTAAATTGGATGGCATTGGATTTCCATCCTGTTTCCTTCCTTGTGGCCTTCTGGAGAAATACAGCATATGTAAAGTGGACATTGCCATGATACTGCATGCTGCCATAGGTAGCTTTCTGTCTCATTTAAAAGCAGGTGGGTGGGGCTTCTGTGTGCAGGTCAGAGCAGGTTGTGACTTGGGCACTATGGAATCAGATATCCAATGAGATGTTTCCATCCAGAGTCTTGCTCTGGATACAGGCATTGGAGCCACACACCCAGTAGCTGCCAGCACTTCCTTCTCACTTTCAGATGCTTCTACTCTCAGATCTTTGGGAGAAACACATCAGTCAGTGGACACTGAATGGCCTGCTGTCTAAAAATTAAGAGTTGTAGCCCAAGGAATCAGAGAAGTTGCAATTTAGGTCTAGAACATCACTAAGTAGCTCTGCAGCCTTGGGCAGGGGAACCCATGAACTCCTGGGCCTCCACACCCTGGGTTCACAGTGGGCGCCTCTCTTCTCCCCCATTCTGTGTACATGTAGCTGCATTGCCCTCTTGCATGAGGGTTCTGACAGCCCCTCTTCTCCTGGTCCCTCTGCAGCAGTTACACGGGAACAACATCCACTTCACCGATGGCTACGAGATCAAGGAAGACATCGGGGTTGGCTCCTACTCGGTGTGCAAGCGATGTGTGCATAAAGCCACTGACACTGAGTATGCCGTGAAGGTAAGGCAGGCCTGCCGTGTGAGCAGGGCCCTGGGTGAGTGCAGTGCATGGGAGCACGTACGGTGCGTGGGAGCACGGGGCGTCGGAGCACAGCGTGTGTGCTCTTGTGCTCAGCTGCGCGGTGACTCTGGCAGGGACACCTGAGCCTGAGTGAACATTCTCTCCATTTGCCATTTTCCAAGGTCTGATATGATGCAGTTCAGTTTGTTTTGAAATGAGGTCATCCATTAAAAGATAGTTTTGCAAATCACGAATATTTTCAGTCATATCCAGCACGTAGGGAGCACCGTTCGTAGCTTTGTGTATGACATACACCAAGAATGAAAGCTTTGTGGCCCCAGTATTTTGAGAAAATAGAGTTGTGGGACAGGCACAGAATTTGGCAAGGAAAGGAAGGAAAGAAAAGAGGGTGAAAGGACGAAAATACTCAAAGAAATAAATAAGCTTGGCTGGGCACGGTGGCTCACGCCTGTAATTGCAGCACTTTGGGAGGCCAAGGAGGGTGGATCACCTGAGGGTAGGAGTTCGAGACCAGCCTGACCAATATAGTGAAACCCCATCTCTAATTAATTAATTAATTAATAAGCAAGCAAGCAAGCTTGTATTATTTACAGAAAACGTTGGCAGAGAGCTAGTGTTTTTACTCCCAACCATCAATAACAGTATATAGAAACAATATAACCCAATTTGGCAATCTCTACATAGTAACTTCAGCTTCTATAATTGTTGCTAGTTTAAATATTTGATATGGGAATCCAGAATACCAGTTTCTAGAGTTTTTTCTTTAGTAAAATGTGGATTGAAGGTAAAATTTCCTGTTAAAATCAGAATTAAATTTATGTTAAAAAAAAAAAAACCAACATTGTACATCCTCTCTAAAAGACACTTGAAACTCCACCCCTTTCCTGTGGAGCTAAACCCCAGGCTGTCACAGAGCGAGGTCCCAGCCTGTGCTGCCATCATGACTGGGACCCGCCCAGCTTATTCCCAGACACATCCGTAGCACATGGTTTGCTTTGATATGAGGTCATCCATTAACTTGCCCTTCAAAGGACATCTGCCCAGCTAGCAAGTAGAGTATAAGTGATGTAATTTTCATCAACTGTGATTCTCCTACACTCTGAAGAGATTGTTCAAATTGATGACAACATTGAGATGATCCCATCCCACCCTCATTTGCTCAGAGCTCCACTGAAATTTTAAAGAAAACAGATATCTCTTTTTTTTAAAAAATTATACTTTAGGTTCTGGGGTACATGTGCAGATCATGCAGGATTGTTGCATAGGTACACACATGGCGATATGGTTTGCTGTCTCCATCCCCCCGTCACCTACATCTGGCATTTCTCCCCATGTTATCCCTCCCTGACCTCCCTGTGCCCCACTGTCCCTCCCCTAGCTGACCCCCAACAGATCCCAGTATGTGATGCTCCCTCCCTGTGTCCATGTGTTCTCATTGTTCATCACCAGCCTATAAGTGAGAACATGCGGCGTTTGATTTTCTGTTCTTGTGTCAGTTTGCTGAGAATTATGGTTTCCAGATTCATCCATGTCCCTACAAAGGACACGAACTCATAGTTTTTTTATGGCTGCATAGTAGTCCATGGTGTATATGTGCCACATTTTCCTTGTCCAGTCTATCGTCGATGAGCATTTGGGTTGGTTCCAGGTCTTTGCTATTGTAAACAGTGCTGCTGTGACATTCGTGTGCACGTGTCCTTATAGTAGAACGATTTGTAACCCTTTGGGGATATACCCAGTAATGGGATTGCTGGGTCAAATGGAATTTCTATTTCTAGGTCCTTGAGGAAGTGCCACACTGTTTTCCACAATGGTTGAACTAATTTACACTCCCACCAACAGTGTAAAAGTGTTCCTATTTCTTCACATCCTTTCCAGCATCTCTTGTCTCCAGATTTTTTAATGATCACCATTCTAACTGGCGTGAGGTGGTATCTCAATGTGGTTTTGATTTGCATTTCTCTAATAATCAGTGATGATGAGCATTTTTTCATATGTTTGTTGGCCTCATATATGTCCTCTTTTGAAAAGTGTCTGTTCATATCAATTGCCCACTTTTGGATGGGTTTGTTTGTTTGTTTCTTGTAAATTTGTTTTAGTTCTTTGTAGATTCTGGATATTAGCCCTTTGTCAGATGGGTAGATTGCAAAAGTTTTTTCCCATTCTGTTGGTTGCCGGTTCACTCTAATGATTGTTTCTTTAGCCGTACAGAAGCTCTGGAGTTTAATTAGGTCCCATTTGTCTATTTTGGCTTTTGTTGCCAATGCTTTTGGTGTTTTAGTCATGAAGTCCTTGCCTATGCCTGTCCTGAATGGTTTTTCCTAGGTTTTCTTCTAGGGTTTTTATGATGTTAGGTCTTATGTTTAAGTCTTTAATCTATCTGGAGTTAATTTTAGTGTAAGGTGTCAGGAAGGGGTCCAGTTTCTGCTTTCTGTACAGGGCTAGCCAGTTTTCCCAACACCATTTATTAAACAGGGGATCCTTTCCCCATTGCTTGTTTTTGTCAGGTTTGTCGAAGATCAGATGGTTGCAGATATGTGGCGTTGCCTCCAGGGCCTCTGAAAACAGATATTTCGAAAGGATAGATCCTCAAGCATGGCCTGCATATTCACTGGGACTGTGTTTCTTGCACTGGGAAAACAAAAGACACCAGCCAAAAACAAATCTCAGGTCCCTTGATTTCAAGAATTTGTGGATTATTGACAAACTTATCTTGAATTTCTCAAACAAAAGAGAAAGTTTAAATATAGGGAAACAATCTGTGAGTCCCTCTGATAGCATCTCTGTGTTTAGTCTGTGCAGAGTCTTGAACACATCCAGGAGAGGTAAAAGGAAGGAAATATATCATGATTGACTGTTACTGGGAAAATTGGGTGGAGACTGCAGTGTTACATTAGTGGTAGAATGTCCACCCGATGTGTGAAAAGCAGGAGAACACCAGGTTTTGTTATGAAGTGGCTGCCTCTGCAGCCTGGGGTGTGTAGGCTTGCTGTTCTATTATTTGGATTGTTGAGGCTGGTTTGCCCTGCTCCTCCATCTCATTGGGAGGGTTTAAAGGAGAACTTAGATGCGCGCCTACCATTTGCATATCCAGGTGCTGTTCCTTCGTCCAGATGTTCCAGTGGTGTCCCAGTGGTGAAGAGTAGACCTGTATTCTGCCTTAGACAAGAGAGTTGCACTTATACTTTGAAACATATTTCACATAAGCATACGAAGCTCCTTGGAATTTTTTTCTGTCTGAGTCTTTGCTCACAGAATTTCTTTAGATTGTTTATCGGGTGACAGACAGCAGTCCCAGAAACAATCACTGCGTGCCAGTGAGCTCAAAGAAACAAGCCTAGGGTTTGTCAGCCCAGCAGCCACGGTGCCTTTCTGGAAACAGCCTGCTCCTGTGAGGTGGATCAGCCCCCGTTTTGTGCCTCTGCAGGTAAATCCCCCAGTGACAAGGCAATGGTGTGTTTTCTCCTACTATTCCCATATCTAAAGACACCATCTGAATTCAGCTTTGTTACATGGCTTATAACTGAGTCCCTCAGTCTTCAAAGATCTTGTTGAGGTCAAACCCTGTGGAATTTCAGCAACAGCTCTTGGGGAGAGAAGCCAGGCACTGTGGCTCCAGCCGATGGTAGAAGAAAGAGCCTGGTCTTCCAGTTTCTCTTTCACAAAACTTGAAGTTCCCCAGACAAATGTAGCCAGTGCACATGAAAAGGATTTCCCTTGTGCCTTCTGAGACTACAGGGAGTCATAATGTGTTGTCTGGATGATGCATAAATTAACCAAGGGTGGGAAGGTGCAGCCCTTTGAAGGGCCCAGGACTTTCCATGGCTCGGGGTCTGGAAGGCTCCTGTGACCACAGCCATTTCAGAAGCACATTTCAGCTGGTCAAGGGAGTGGTGACAAGCTCATTTATCTGTGGGTAGACACAGTTGTTTGGATTTCCTTCAAAGATGAACAAGCTGGCATTTCTGAGCAGCAAGTTTGTTATTTAGAATGGGCCCACTTGTTACCAAAACTTTGATGCAGTGCAGACCACTGCGTGGTTCTGTGTTCAGCATTTTCAGGTGGAATGTAATTGAAATACTTTTGGTCCTTGTCTGTATCCACTGACTTGTTTATGAGAAGCAGCATCCCTACCTATTGACGGATGGACTGAGCAACAGCAAAGTTTGGTGATTTCTAATGTGACCCAGAACTAACTATGTGGCAGTTGATGTCTGACGTGTGAGTTGGATCTCAGCTCAGTAGATGTCCTGCCAAGATTGTCACTAGAATCCAGCTTTACCACTCCCAGTTGTCATGTGAGCCGCATACAAGCCCACTCATGGCTCATGGATACAAACGGGGTCTGCTTCAGCAGCCCCATCCTAGCCAGGCAGGGCTTCCTCCCATTCAATGGCATGGGTGACCCAGAAACCAATAATGAAGGAAGGCAGCAATCTTGACTAAACAATGAGGACAGTGACCAGAATAGATGGATTCTGCCCAGGGACATCATATTCATTTGGGGTGACTGTGGCCCCCAGGGGACACTGGCAATGTCTGGAGACTTTCTGGTTTTTAAGCTGGAGCAGGGCTCCTGCCATTGGTGGATATGGGTCAGGGAAGCTGGTCAGCATCCTGCAGTACACAGGACAGCCCCCACCACCTGCTACCCCAACAGAAGATTGACAACCCCAAACCACAGCATCCTGTGGGTGAGGGCGGGTCTCATGTAGATAAATGCCAGGAGGCTGATAGTTTGGAGATGGGGGTGGAGTTTTTCTTCTTCACCGAGTTTCTGGTGAGTCCTTTAGCAACAGGATGATGATCTGACCAAGAGCTCAGTGTTCCCCCATGCTGCAGGGCAGCCCATACCCCCACCCTGCTGTGATCGAGCCATGACTCTAAGTGCAGGTCCTTCTAAGAGGAGAGTGGGACCAACTCTTCACCTCTATGAAGGTCAGATGCAGGGCTTCAGAGTGAATATGGAATCTTACTAG